GATGTATGGTTTGTTAGGATGGGACAATATTTGGCTGAGATACAACTATTTGCAAATCTGGAATCTGAGGGTGCAAAAAAAATCTAAATATTGAGAAAATCACCTTTTAAGTCCTTAGCAATGCATATTACTAATCAAAAATTAAGTTTTGATATATTTACGGTAAGAAAATGTACAAACTATCTTCATGGAACATGATTTTTACTTAATATTCTAATGTTTTTATATGTTGATCATTTTGACCTATACAATGTATTGTTGGTTATTGCAACAAATATACCCGTGCTACTTATGACTGGTTTTGTGGTCCAGGGTCACATATATGCATATTCACAATTGCTCCCCACTTGAGTTTGTACATTTATATTGTTCAATACAATATATATATATATATATATACTGTATATAAATATATATATATATATATATTAACGTATTCACCACATACATTGAAATTCACTTTCTGTAATGCCGAAGTAATGTGCTTTTAGATGTAGTGTTAACTAGATTTAAAAAATAAAATATGATACATAAATATACTCTAATTTTCATAGTTACAGCTACATGCTGTATGTTTGATAACCATTGAGCTTAAAGGGGTCATATGATGCTTTTTTAAAGATCATTATATTGTGTATTTGGTGTAACAGAATATGTTGACATGCTTTAATGTTCAAAAAACACATTATTTTTCTTTTGCTTTCGCACTGAAACACACAGCGTCTGCCTGACATGCTGCATCAACACTAACTGCGGTTACTGAAACACGCCTTCTTTCTTTGCGTGAACATTTGGGCGCATTATGCAAATATTTCCACATAGTGAGGTAGATATGTGAGGGCGTGTTAGAACGAGCCGTTTTAGGGGGGCGTGGCAGAGTCTTAACTTTGATAAAGAATATCTCTTTGGTTTTGAGACTTTAGTCTTTGCAACTTCAGGGATCTTATCTATTCACGAACAGCTTGTAACACTCCAAAGAGAAAGGAAAACTTGAAATCGCATCATATGACCCCTTTAAGATGCAGTCCCTGACGCTGAGCTATGCTGTAACGAAAATTATATCACAGTGCCACCTAGTGATAAAGTGCTAACAGAGAATCTGGGCATCTGTTCTTGCACTAAAACACCCGTTCAGCTTGTGTGCATGTGTACTTATGGGAGTGATGTTTGGTGTTATTAGTTTCTCAAGGCCTGTATGGCTCATCAGTGAGAAGCAGCAGCAAGTGTGAAATATCCCTGTCTTAAAATACTGAAGGGTCAATGTTAATAGGACTATTCAGCATCCTGCTGGTTTGTTAATATGCTTTTATGTTGGAAAAGCTGATGTCAGTGTTGATATTTTCTACATTAGATAGTCTGACACAGTTCTTAAAGGTATAGTTCACCTAAAAATGAAAATTCTGTCATTAATTACTCACCCTCATGTCGTTCCAAAGCCGTAAGACCTTTGTTCATCTTCGGAACACAAATTATGATATTTTTGATGAAATCCGAGAGCTTTCTTATCCTGTATAGACAGTAACGCAACTACCACGTTCAGGGCCCAGAAAGGTAGTAAGAACATTGTTAAAATAGTGACACAGTGACATTAAATATTGGGGAATATTTTACTTTTATAGAAGTTGTTTTTGTAGTTTCTGCATCTTTAGGGCTTTTTTTTAATTTTTTTTATTACAAATTCCATAGTTTGTTATTACTTCTTATTTATTTCAAAAACCATATAAGCATGGTAATGAGGAGGACCATGGTTTATTTGTTGTGACCACCATCTTACTAATACTAATCAGTTCAACTCTGGATTCTATGAAATATAGTACATTTCATTCGGGCAAAGGATAATTTTACAGAATAGCTTTAATAGCTTCTTTCTCTTTAAATGTTTAGGTCTAATTAATTTTAATTGAGGCAAAATGTTAATTCAATAAGAGCCTGATTAAAGATAATTATCAGTGTCTTATAAAAATTAGGTGTTAACTATTTACAAATGTTAAAGTTCTTAAAGGGATAGTTCACCCAAAAATTTAAATTGTCATCATTTACTCACCATCATGTCATTCCAAACCTGTTTGCATTTCTTTCTTCTGTGGAACATTAAAAGAAGGTAATTTAAGGAATTCAAGAAGTTTTTGTCCATGCAGCAGAAATCAAGGGTATTCAAAATGGTTTGGTAACATTCTACAAAATATCTTCTTTTGTGTTCCACATAAGAAAGTAAGTCATACAGGTTTGGAATGACGTGAGAGTGAAGAAATGATGACAGAATTTAATAGCAGTCAATTTTCTGCATTCTAGCTCAAAATCATTGCTTTACTGTCAAGTGCCTTTATATGTGACAAAATTGCATTATTAGGTTTGTTTTATTTGCTGGGAATTCAGTAATATCTATCATTATTTATTTCTGTCCTGTTTTATTTATTCATTTATTTACTCCAATCGAAGGCTCTATAACCCAGCAAAACATGCACGAGGAACTTGTGGTCCAGATTGGCTGGATTTGTCCAGCGCCTAGTCCAGCCCTGTGTCACATGATCCTTCAGAAAACGTTTATTATTATCGATGTTAAAAACAATGGAAACATGACACTGTTGTTGTTGTTTTTTGTTTTTTTTCAGAATTCTTTGATGAATAGAAAGTTCAAAAGAACAGCATTTATTTGAAATAGACATTTGTAATATTATAAATCTTTACTGTCACTTTTGACCAATTTAATGCATCCTTGTTGATTGCAAGTATTCATTTCCATTGTTAAAAATAATAATAGTAATAATTTACTAACCCCAAACTTTTAAATGATAGGTTTATTTATTCATATAATGTGAGTATATGTGTGTTTTAAACCTGCCATAATTAGTGACAGATAAATTAACAATGACCTTTATTTTCCTGATCTTTGAAAATCAGTGCAAAAAACTAATGTGATCATTAGTGCAAAGTGCACCGATACAACAGAAAGAAGAAACTGTGAGTTTTTAAATCTGCACAGGGCGATGACCTTCGGTTTTGTAGTTTGCTTGGACTTCCAGTTATCTCTCTTTGTCTTCCCACAGAAGGCGGGTTCAGATGTCGGTCAGCAGATGAGGAGCTGTGACCGTGAACAGAGCGCCTCCTGTGGCTGCCAGCCGGAATAGCACGGCCAACCACAGATCACTGTGGACATCTGCAGGAGACAAGCGAGCCAATCAGATCTCACTATTGACATCACAGCCCAACACACTTCATCAAATCAACCCTCAGTTGACACGAGACAGTGAGAGAGAGAGAAAACACAAGTGAGAGAGAAAGAGTAAGTGTGTGTGAGAAAAAGACACAAAAATGTGAGGAAGTGTGTATGTGTGTGTGTTTTGTGCGCTGACATGTCACTGGTGTGTGTGAGACAGAGATAATCCGTTGAAAAAGAAACACTGACCCTGAAAGCAGAATGTTTCGTCTTGCGGCGAGTGGGTGGTTTAGTTTAACGTAATCATCTTGTCCCTCACTTAGAAAGGAGCTGCCAGCCACTTTGCATAAGAGACCTTCATCCTTTCAAAATTACAGCGGGAAATGAGAGCGTGTTCAGAATTATTCTTCTGCAGAGGAAGATAATACTCATTCTGAATTCCAGCTCTGACTTTTTTTATTTCCCATTATGCCGGGATGAGAGGTTCTCCAACAGAAAGGAGCTCTTTGAATGTTTTGTACAGAATGTGTTTTAGTTACGCGCAAAATAAAATTAAATGTTTACAATTTGCTGTCAGACTTTGATTAACTGCTGCTGTATGAATGCCAGTATATATTTTGCCTTTTGTAATCGCTGAACAATGAAATCCAGAATGGATCAGCGGTCAACTGAAACACATGGAGCCAATTTCCCTGAAGCGGATTAGGCAGAGTCTTGGACGAACTTTGGCTGTCAGTAGTGATTATTCATAGTGAAATCTTTTATAGTCTGAGACTAAACATGATCTGTGTCCAGGAAAGCAGCCATGTTCCTGTGAATCTGGCACTGAAGATGCTGACTCTGTGTAAGACTGTCAGAACAGGCCTCTGTCAAACTAGTTTAACCCCTTTAGTTGTCTTCTCTTGTTAATCAAGCTCCTTCATTATTTCTTAAGAAAAGATGCTATAAATAAAATATGTGGTTTTTGTTTAGTCTGTCTCTTTAAAATCAGAATTAGATATTTGTAAATAGATTATACAAGGAAGGATTTACTTCTATTATGTTAGGCCCACTTTTATGTAATTGTAATTATTAGGAATGTAATTAATTATTAGTTTTAATATTTATTGGTTGATATTTTTTTATTACAATAATATTCATCACCATCAAATTAATGATAATAATAGTGATTATTACTATAAATCAGTCCCAACATTTATGGAATAATAATGATTAAGAATATAATTAGGAATAATGATTCATTATTATTGACTATTTATTAGTTATTAATTAATAACAACAATAATAATAATAAAATAATGGTAAAATATCAATAATGTATTGAATAAATATTATTATCAATTAGTCCAAAAAAATGTATAGGAATAATTGTTATTTTTACTATTTTACTATATTTATTATTATTATTATTAAGTTAGGCCCACTTTACATAATTATAATTATTAGGAATAATTTTTTTTTTTTTTTACTATTTATTGGTTGTTATTTTTATTACAATAATAATAATAAATATAGTAAAATAGTAAAAATAACAATTATTTCTATTAATTATTTTGGACTAATTGATGATAATATTTATTCAATAATAATAATAATTATTATTATTATTATTACTTTAAATCAGTCCAACAATTATGGAATAATAATTATTATGAATATAATTAGTAATTATTATTTAGTATTTATTAGTTATTAATCTCTAAATAACAACAACAACAATAATAATAAAATAATAGTAAAATATAGATTAATTTATGCATTTAGCAGACGCTTTTATCCAAAGCGACTTACAGTGCATTCAGGCTATACATTTTTTATCAGTATGTGTGTTCCCTGGGAATTCAACCCATGACCTTTTGCGCTGCTAGCGCAATGCTCTACCACTGAGCCACAGGAACACATTTATTTTATTCAATAAATGATGTATTGAATAAAATATTATCAATTAGTCCAAAATAATTAATAGGAATAATTATTTTTACTATTTTACTATATTTTTGTTGTTGTTATTGTTATTAATATTAGTGAAAAATAATTATTCTGTTTTATATTACTAATAATTAGTATTCCATAAATTTTGAAGTAATTTAGTAGTAGTAGTAGTAATAGTATTTTAGCATAATAAAATTGGCCAAAATAATAAATAAATAAACATCTAAGCGGCAGGGAAGGTATTAACCATTGTGATAGTCTGATGTTCAAAGTTCTGCAGTGTTCAGTGGAGGTTTTGCTGAGTTCGCAGGCAGGCCTGGTCATACTTTATTGCCTCTCTCTGTATCAGTTTATAAATGTTCATTTTATTTGATTACTTGTGTATTAAATACAGCTTATCAGTATTTCTTTAGGTTAGGTATTCCTATTTATCAATGTCCACTAGGTGATGCTGTCTGCCTGATCATACAGCCAGTGTTACCTGATAGTCCAGCCAATGCTTCTCTGCTGTTGCTGATTGATTTATTGCTTTATTTTGCATGGCAGTGTATGAGAACCCAATGTTCTTTAGTTGCTGGTGTGCCGATCACTTCCAGATGTGATGAGGACGTTCTCCTCCAGACACACACTCACACATTTCTGTGGCTGTAGGCATTCATTTCCTGTCTCGTGGAAAGGTCACGAGAATTGACAGGATGAGCCGAGAGATGCTCGGATTTCTCTGTCTCTCTGCCAATGCATGCATGCTGAGCTCATGAGGACTAGCAAAAGTTCATCAAGAATCTCATGATGTTTACCATATGTGCATCTGTTCCTCAGAAGACAAGCCTTCTTGAGTAAATTTGCACAAATTATCTTTTTCATTTTGTTCTTTTAGGGTTTTTTTCTTTGCATGTATTGTTCAGCATGTTTTACCTTCAGATGTTAAGGTTTATTATGTTTGTATATAAAAGTATTATGGTGGCACCATGCTCTAGTGAAGGTTTTTGGTGATTATGATACTTTAAAGCGATCCATGCTACTAAATGAGCACCATATTCATATATCATGGAATGTATATATTCCAAGGTTACATGTCCAAAAACATAGTAATATCATGCTACTTTTTAGGGATGCACCAGTATGAACATTTTAGCCAATACAGTAATTACATAAATGCATTTAGTTTCTGCATTCTTTATTATATTTCCATTTAAATAAACTAAGTTAATAATATTATATATATATATATATGGTGTGGGTGTGTATTTATATTATTATTTACTATTTAAATGGAAAATATGAAGAATGTAGAAACTATATAGTTACTAGTATGTAATATAGTAATTATTAATATAGTGTAGTTATAATTCTTAATATAATTGATTGGCTAAACTGTTTTTAAATACAGTATATTTAGAAAACAACATATGTAAATATGTTACATTTTATTAGTAGTAGTAGTTTCTTTCTTTAAAAGATAAATATAAGAAAATATTTCGTATAACTGATTAATTAAACATTTTATTCAAATCGATTATTTTAATTGAAACTATTTCAAATACATTGGCACTTTTTACTTAACAGACTGATACTAATAACATTAAAAAGTTACATTTATTGTTAAATACCAATATGACCGCCAATATTTCATGCATTCCTAGTATATTTATAAGGACAGTCTCTAGAAATAGAGCTCTATATCTGAAACTGTTGTGGCCAGGAAGATGTCACACTGTGCCGCTTGTACTTTGCCAACAATGTGACAGTAAGTGTAACAATGGAGAAATTATGGTTTTTATAAAAGCTATGACTCATATAAAACGAGTCTTTTTTTTTTTTTTAAGCCTATGAAAAGCCATATATCTTGGCAGAGCGTGTTTTTATTGTGCATTGTGTGTGTGTTTGTGTGCATCTGTATCTGAGCTTTTGTCTCTGTTGTGATCGAATTCGAGCAGGAGCGGGCCGTTTTTCGTCAAGTGCCTGGCAAAGTGTTTATCTTCCTGCTACAGGAAGCGCTGAATCACCTCTGTCGCTATCATGTTTCTGAGCTTTATTGTCTTGCTCGCTTCCATTTTCTCAATTCCCCTCTTTTGTGTACCATCTATGTCCTAATTGTATACTCATCTTCACACACTTCACCCACCCACAAACAAGGACAAAATGGATCTATTAACCGGATTTCTATCAGACATAGTGCAGTGGCCACGAGGAACAGAAGCATCTGGGTTTATTTTAGTGTTCTCAGCAGGGACCCCAGATACACTCCTTACCTGCCAGCCACCTGACCACAGACCCCCGGACATCAGCGCCGCACCATATTCACACTTCATCTCATTCCATCTGCACTCCAGACTCATTAGATTTTCCGTTAAGCCATTAAGACCTCTTCCCTGGAATCAGACGAATCCATGTCCTTGGCAATAAAGGATTCCTTTGGGAATCATTATTTGCAGCATTATTTAATTAGAAGCAAGACTTGATTTGCATCTCACATGTACAGCAATAGTAAAGCAGTATATACATAAAATCTCAGTGAAAGAAGTTATTGAATATCTGAATGTAAGGCATACTAATTTGATGTCTTCACTGCTTTTGTGTGTGTGTGTGTGTGTGTGTGTGTGTGTGTGTGTGTGTGTGTGTGTGTGTGTGTTAATGACAATAAGTTGTGAATTGTGGTATTTTAATTTTTTTAGGTAATATTTCATTGTTTTAATATTGTGTGTTGCCCTGATATAATTTATCTTGGTGTGAATAACATTGTGCAGTCAGTAAAAGTTAATTAGCCTTTTAGAAGTGAAATGTCAAACTCAATTAACTTTAATTTGTCATTTTACTACCTGTATTATAATGGTGGTTATCAGTATTTGATGTAGTTTCAGTAGGTTGGTAGGCCTGCATATATTAGTTAGTGATAGGCCTACATACAGTTATGAACTACAAAATATGTGGTGCTGTAATACCTGAAACATTGTTTTCTTATTTTTTACAATGTAGAAAGAGAAAACAAATTATACCTGATATAGTGAGAGGACCAGAAGTGACCAAAATGACAATCCAGTTAAGAGTGAAATGAAATGTGAGATTGGATTTTGTGATCTGAAGCCTCGGTTATCGTTTCAGTGAAACTATAATCTGCTATAGTGAATCATATAGAGCTGAAATGAGGGAACTTGGAGATGTACAAAAAGAAAATAGATGAAAATGAACTGTGAAAGTGGGGGAGAAATATCAAGCGTTGAAAGGAGATGAGTAATTATGTGTGGGAGGTCAGTCTGTCCTGTATGATACGGCCAAAAACACAATCCAACAAACAATACTACAATTGATTCTTACCACCACTGGCTTCTGTTTTCTCTAGCATCTTCCTTTACATTATTACCGGCTATGAGTCGCTGTTGGAGATACCAGCTTGAAATCATGCGTTTTTCTATTAACAATCCTTCTTGAAGCTCTTTGCTTTTGAAGGACAGTCCAATTAGTGTGTCCTTGTTTGGTCGTGATTCGGCTGTTTTCTCTCAGACATGACGTGACGATGACTGTATCAGCACGAGAAAAAGTACAGACAGAATACATGACCTTTATTGTAGCTCATTTTTGTTGAAAAACACCTGTAAGACAGTTATAAATGCAAT